CTACCCCATTTCCTGGTAACCTATTCCGGTGGTTGATCACCCTCTGCGTAAAGAACATTTTCCTGGTATCTGTCCTCAAATTCCCTTTACAACTCTAAACCTATGTTCTCTTGTACTACTGTCTTGATACATCCTAAAGTATTGATCTGGTTTTACTTTTTTAATTCCATTTAAAACATTATACAGCTCTGTGAGATCTTCTCGGAGTCATCTTCTCTCAAGACTGAAGAGCCCTAGATGTATAGCCATTGTTTATAGCTCAAGTCGCTGCACATAGCTCACCCCCTTCAAGGAACATCTGCTGGAACTCAGGGAAATATATGGACTAAATCTAATGCTTAAACCTGTTTGCTGCTGGAGATTTTCTTCTTTATATAACCCATTCTTTTATAATTGATTTGTTTTTCCGGTTTTGCTCACATAGGTCTACAAATGCACAAATGACTAAATTTTACAACTGTACATTTTTTAAAAAAATACAAACTTGCAGTCATTTTACTCATCAACAGAAATTAAAGAAAAGTTAGGTAAATAAGAGGAATTCATATTTAAGTTCTCTAAAGGAGAGATAATGGGGTTCGGACTCTACTTCTCCCAAAATTCAATTAAACAACAAACTACATTTGTATAGCACCTTTCATGTCGGAAGGACATGCCAAGGCGCTGGACAGTCTGGGATTTGGCCCCGAGTAGGGGGGTTAGAACCATGAGAGATGGAGGAGAAGGGGAGAAGGGCGCAGTCTAAGAGGAAGTTCTTGAGACATGCTTTGAAGGAGGCAAGGGAGGGAACATGTCCAAGGGACTATGGGATGGCGTTCCAAAGGGTGGGGCATAGAGTCTGAAGGCCCAACCACCGATGGTGGGGCGAGCCTGGCAGGCCGTCATATTATAAGATACATTAATTGGACTGATCAAGTATAGTATGCAAGAGAAGCCTAGCGGAAAATATTCTTTTTTGTCCCCACCTCTCACAAGATTGATCTGGTTGAGAAGCCCTTCGGACTAATTTGTAAACTTACAAAAGGCTTTTTTTTTAATAGTGAATTTGTTGCTTTGGAACCCTAATTGGATGTTAATCTAAATATCAGTCTTGGTGCCTGGCAGGAGATCAGACTCTGAGTGAAGTTCCAGATTCGCTGTTTACAAATCCTTTTGAGCATCTCTCAATCTAGACTCCCTTGCTTATTTTCACTCTTTTCTGTGATTTTCCACTTGTTACCCACATTTCCATTCACAACATGGCCTGATAACAGATTGCAAACAGTACTAGTTCGTAGTAGGGCAGCAGTTGTGAAAACAACCTGGGGTGACTTGTTTCCTTATCCTTGGGGAGAGGCATGTGACTTGCCCTGACACCAGAAATGAAATCAGGAACTTGCACCTGGACAGTTAGAGATCCAAACCCACATCCTATCACTCGGGCTTAGTGTATTGGACCTCCAACGAAATGCACTCCGTTCTGCAGATTTAACCCACTGCTGGTAAATCTTTTTTTAGCTGAAGTACCAATAAATAGGCTTACCAGGTTGTTGCATGCCAATGTCAGTGGGGCTTCCATTGCTGAATTCATTCTTTGTGCAGTACAGAGAAGTGGAAGCAGTACAATGGAAAAGATTCTATTTATTACTGAATCCTACTAATATTGAATAGTATTTCTGCAATATATGTATAGAATTATTACTGATTTAAGAATATTGTTACCGCAAATTATTTGAGATTAGATTGTGTATTATATGAATTTTATATTCCAGATTATTTAACTCATGTAGATTAAGTTACCATTTTTCTTATTGATATTCTCATATTATTGTTCAGAATCTTATTGGAATTAACAGTTTTTCTGGTTTCTGATTACAGTTAATAAACACAAATAAAGAATATTTAAGCACTTTGAGATGCCCCCCTGGCATGAAAGGTGCTATATTAAATGTTAGTATTACAATTATTATAATGAGTATCAATATTAAACATAAATTCTTATCAGTTATTAGGGATCTATTTCATGCTCTGTTCAATTTTCACCCCCTTCTACCTTGTTTGATAAATAAGAAAAATATTGAATTAGTTTTGTTCATTTTTGAGTTATAACGAATTTGGGATGTACTAATGATAACTTCCGCATCATATACTGTATTTTTCATTCTATTGTTCAGAAGTTTTAATTCTATATGACTCTGTAAAGTACTAGACTATGTTAGAACTCATTAATGCAAATGACAAGTATTAGCCAGTCTGATAATTATCAGGTCGAATCTGTGAATTGAATGAAAGATTGCCTTTTTATTTATTACACGTTTCATATGAAACAAATGCCCTTTTTTACATAGCAGATTTTTAAAAATGTTGCAAATACAATGGAGTGCTATTCTCAACTTGTTGTTACATATGCTTGTTGTTACCTGGCTTGCTGATGTGTCCTTATAATTGGATAAGCCCCCAAGGGTGCTTTGAAGCTCCTCATTATAGAAAATAAACTACACCTCCCTAGAGCTTACTTGCCACCATCTTCTAAGTTTCCAAGTCCAGATGAAATATTAAATAATAATCCTTAAGGCCTTTAAATATCACCATTGTAGTATCCTAAACAGTATGTTATGTAGTTAATACCAATATTTATCTCCATGACTTGACAAATGTTGTTACTACTGTATTTCGCCTTTGGATGCCAAATCATAAAATACCAGAAGTGGGGCAGCTCTGAGCTGCTCTTAGCTGATGTACCTTTATGCACATTTTAGAACATCAGTCACAGCATAGAAACAGGCGATTTGCCTATTCAAGTCTGTGCTAGGATTTTACTCCACGTGAGTTCCCTAATCCTGCTCGTCTGTTTTTCTAGCAGCTTTTCTTTATTCTCCCCCCTCAATTTTTGTCCTTCCTGTCCTGAAGTTGCTAACTTATGCTTGGTATGAATCTGCTGGCTATTGCCACCTCTAGAATCTTGCCACCATTTTCACATGTGTCCCTGAACAGCGAGTATTGACACATTTCTCAATTTGAGGAGGCTACTCACGTTTTTGGCCAATATCTAAATACATTTCAGTATGAGCAACCGAATAGTGATTAGGATTGGGGACCCCATCTGATTAGTCCTCTCCGCTTCCCTATATCTGTAGCCCAGGAGACTTTGAGGCAGTTGAGCCATTATTACTGATGGCATAACTGAGATCAGATGATTCAGCACTGAACAAACATTGACCTTGGGCCCTTCCTGGTTTGGATAATCTTCATTGTGTAAACCCTGAGCAAAAGCAAACTGGTTATTTAACCAAGGAGAGTTCAAGATAATGTCTTGGTTGTGATATAATTCAGGGTACAGTTTAAGTGTTCACACTTTAAAGTTATTAAACACCAGTGAACACTTTAGTTTGCAAAAAAAAATGTTTTAAAGCTTAACCAGTCAATACAATACAAATTTTCATTTAGATAGCTCCTTTCACGTTGGAAGGATGTCCCAAGGTTCCTGACAGTTGGGGTTTGGCATCTGAGCTAGGAGCGGGAGCCGAGGGATGTGGGGAGGGGAAAGATGACCAAAGTCATGGTCAGAGAGGAAGTCTTGAGATGGACATTGAAAGAGGTGAAGGAGGAAGTCGGAGGGACTCAGGATAGAGTTCAAGAGAGAAGGAACAGATAGGCTGAAAGTCCGACTGAAGATGGTGAGTATGGCGGGGGACAGGTGCCTGCTGAATGAAGGGAATGGCCAGGTCAATACTTTTTGAGGAGGTCACAGAGGAAAGGTGATGCAAGACATTGGAGGGATTTGAAGATGAGGACCTTGATGCTGATGACTACCTCATTAAGGTAACTGACCTGAAGTTGCTCAAGATGATGATTCAGCTCTGCCTCATCAATATCTGGTAATTCATTAATCTGGAAATTCATTCACCTCCTGTGTACTGTATCAGCCAGATATCTTCAGCAAGATACAGTAAAAGAGTTTAAATTAATGATTAGTTGTACCTGATTTTTAAAAAGGTATAGCTATATTAATATAATAATTCTATAATCCTTGCATTTCATATAGCACCTTATCAAGTTGTTGAGACGTCTCAAATTGCTTCACAGAATATATTGTAAAATGGATTGACTGTGTATTTTGTGGGCAAAATGCGGCAGCTAATTGTGCACAGCAGTGACCCACAAACAATCGTATACTGAGTGACCACATTCTTTTGAGGGATTATTGCCCCAGAAAGTGGATTGTTCCGCCAGTCGACTAACAACCGGGTTCCTAATTAACTGCTACGTAAACAAAGGGGTGTGGAGTAAGGAAACTCCACACCCCTTTGTTTACTAGCCTAAGGTTTCACCCCACCAAGGAATCGAACCCGGGTCTTCTCGCTTGTGAGACTGGTGCGCAACAGCTCAGTAGGAGTTGTTGTAATGGGAAGGATGAGTTTTAATACAGCTTTACTGTTGAGCGACTTTAGTTTTGCTTTTTTAAGTTACAAATATATTAAGTGGTATATGTTATCTGGTAACCTTTGCATTTTATCCACTGTAGCAACAAACACCATGACAGGTTTTGTGTATAGCCTTTGGGCCATGGGAATAGCAACTGAAAAACATTAAAATGAAGACCATAGCTGAAACTCAGCACAGTATATATGGTATTAAAAAAGATGTCTTGAACATATCAGAACATTGTGTAAGTGTAATTTTACGAAAAGTTAATTTTCTGTCTTGTGGTTCACTGAATGTTTTGCGAGGTTCTTTCTTAAAAGGTATTTTATGTTTTTCTCTTCCGTTTTTCCTTTTGGCCTCTTGTCACCATTGTTAGTCACAGTGACCTATGTTCAGGTTTCTCCGGGACTTTGTCATTGGGCACTGAGAGGTGAGCGAATGCAAGCAATGATGACTGTTTTTAACTCTCCTTTCCTCTGGGGAAGCATACAGCATCTGCTCATTGCTTTCCCCAGTGACATAGCAGAAGGACGTTATTCAGTATACTGTGACTCTTGGCTCTCTACATCTATAGTAAAGTTTTTTTTCCATCCTAGATCCTCCAGAAGATTGATAGTGTTATCAGCAGCCATAAAAGGATTGCAATAAAGGTACACTCTTTGTAAATTTGTATGCATTTACCAGTAAATTAACAGAATTGTTTATGGAGCATTTTAAGAATGTTAATTGTGCTCCCTTTCTTGTGTGCTCTCTGTTAATTGCTTTGCCTCGGGAAACTGAAAGGTACTTTCTTGTAGTGTTGGTGGGACTACAAATTAGAATGGTGAATAAAATGTGCGTAAAACAACTAAGTCTAGCAGTGTCAGGATCAGCACCAGAATAACTTTGATTCTTCAAGTTAAATTGGGTGGAAAATAGAATTCTGAGCATGAATAGGCTAAGACGGGAATACAAATACAGTATAAAGTATCTTCAGAAATTGTACTTCTGCAAAACAAATTCAGAAAAGCTGAAATGTGCCAATGAAAATGAATAGTTGACTGTGTAACACAATTATATGTCTTTACTTTAGGAAATTTGACAACTTTTGTTTTAAATATAATTACTTTATATCCCGAGGTATGTATTTAATCTTGCTTAAGATCTGAGCTTGGAAGGTTTTGTAAAAATATTACGGGGGAAATATCTTTGTGAGCATCTCACCAGTTAACATGAACTGATATAATATTCGTCTTCTTGTATGTTTGGTAATGATACAATAGGAAATTCCACAAATCAGCCAACAGTTAGCATTTCAAGTGAATTTGTGCGCTGCCTTTAAAATGTCAGCAATGGACAGCTGCAGCCATATTAATGTAGATATAATTGTCTAAAAACATAAAACATGTTGAAATTTGGTGTAATTATTGGACAGTAGATGCAGACCTTCTGTATCCCACTGATGCAACAACTTGCAATCTTAACCATTACGAGTGCTGGCTTCTCATGTCAGATGCTGTTTGCCACATCTAGTGGACAGCGCATGATAAACTGTATAATAGCTGAAGGAAGCAGAACTTAGATATTTCTGTCCATTTAATCCCAACCAAGGTGTTGGCAGCATTTTCCTTGTGAAGCTTAATGGCCTTCACGTAAAAAAAATAGATTGTGCATGTCATTTTTGGGGATGTTAGCTTGGTGTCTGACTCACCCAGAAACCCATTGCCACACTTAAGAGAGGTCAAACTGAATACTGAGAGTTCTACAAATGCGTGGAAATTTTCATGTGGATGGAATGCATGCTCTCTTCCCAGAGGGATGCATCCTGCTTACCTAATCCAGGAAAGTATTAGGCACAAATTGGCAAGAGCCAAGGTGTGGGACTACTGCTAAGGTTTAAGCATCTAAAACCATACAGCTTGCCATTGTGAACAATGACTGGCAACCCTCCCAGTGCTTTTCCGGCTTGGAACACCCTTCTCTTCAACAGGGTCAATAGAGACCCAGTGGGAGGAATCTCTGCCATAAATTACATGTGGGGGCAGTGTGGTATTCGGGAACTACACTCTTCTCTTAACTCCCAAACAGCAAACAAGGTTGTTTCACTCCTGGGAATCTTGTCTTGTAAGATTATCTTCAACAATCTGATTATATACGTTATTATGTAAGGTCTCACTGTAGAATCATATGCTTGAGTGTCAGTGATCTTGTTCCATTGGTGTGAATTAAGTTTAGGTGTATTAGCAAGAGAAGGATATAAGAGAAGGGATTAATGGGTGGAGGCTCATGTGGAGTGTAACAAGATTATTAGGGCTGAATGGCCTGTTTCTGTGCCATAATGTTCTATGTTTAACATTATAATTAATCTCCAAATAGTTGAAACACATGTGGTCTTTTTGTGGCACTGACCTAAGTCTTAAAATACAGCTTCATCTAAAATCATAACGACAACTGCTTTAAACATAGGAAGAGAAGAAGATCACTAGGCACATCGAATATTTCATCAACCAAGGCAGCTCTGTATCTTTTGTATCTCATTGCCTTGATTTTAACCGCATCCTTTAATACATTAACCTTGGAAGTATATATCTCCTTTAAATGTAGTGCAGTCTGAAACTCCCAACACAACAATGTTGGAGAGGCTGTCTTGGATGAGATTTTAAATCAAGGTCTCACCTGTCTGTTCAGGTGGACATTAAAGATCCTGTAACAGGATTGAAAGAGAGAAGTGAGTTTTTCTCACTGCCTTGGCCAACAATCTTTCAGTTTAATTGATCATTCATCTCATGGCTATTGTGCAACCTTGTTGGTAGAAATAGTTGCTGCATTTGTAAACCGAAGTGTCTGCTCTTGACAGTAATCACTTGTACTTTGCAATGTTTAGAAGTAATAAGATGCTATAAAGTGGTAAATTCTTCTTTTCTAAAACTTCTCAATTGATTTTTGGCATCTATGTCATTCTAGGGCAGAGCATCCCACATTCTCACAGCCTTTTGTTTCCAGAAGTATTTCTGGATTCAGAACATGCATAATTATGAATTATTGTTGTCAGCAGGCCAAGATAAATTGATGGCGTGGAGGACAGCACATAAATTCTTAGTAAACAAACAATAAAAAATGATCAAAGGCAAAAATTGTTGTTTTGAGAACACTATGTTTAGCGCTAGAGAGGTCTAACAGCTCTAAGGGAGGTATCACCTAATTCTAAAATAAGTGGATTTGGAAGTTCTTTCAGTGGCTCCTTCAATGATCAAATGGAGCAATAAGCCACACAGACCAGAATGTCTCTGTTGTAGTATTAAAGTTTGGGGGCACTGAGAATTGGTCTCAATATCCCTAGTTCAGGAAAGGGAAAATCAACTAGGGTAACTGCTCCTGATTATTCCCCTGAATGTCGATTGAGGATGGAATGGGCCCAGGTATGATGTCCTCCGTGATCAAAAAGCCGGATAACATGCACTGTCAAGATTCACACATGGATAATGACCACATGGCCATTATACCTGTTGAACTATACCACAATACAAGGATAAAAAAGGTAAATTCCTTCTGTCGGGCAGAGTGTGGAATTTGAAAGAAAATAAATTGTCAGGATTTTTTGTTCTGGGTTCTTTCAACCTGCTTACTTGCCGAGCCAGGAGGAACTGACAAGCTAACAACAGGAGTTTTCCTATTGAGTTGTTTGTGGCTGATTCACTTTGCAAGCCTGACCTGCTGGGGGTATCTCTACTGTCTCAGATACCATAAGGTATCTGTGTCTACTGGGGCAAAAAGAGCAACAAGCTTACAACTGTCTATTGTATAAATATTTTGCTAACTGACTAGTGACAGACCAAAGGATACATTCACACATTGCTGCTGTTTTGATTTCTAGGGATAGCAATTGATATTTAAACTCAAGCTGCTGTTACACTGTATCTACAGGCTGCTAAATTCCAAGCTTGATTTATCCCACTCTTCTCAACCTTGGTGGTGTCCTGCACAGCGGGCCTTGGCCCTTCACCCAGACTTCTCAACGACAACATATTATGATGTGGGAAATTTGACTTTGCCTCAAATACAACTGTAAACAATTTCCTTTTTTTAAAAAACAAATCTTCCGTTATATAATAATTTCTGCAGCCTTGTGATCGCATTGAATTCTAGCCAAGAGTGGAACAACCTGAACCCAGTTTTGTCTAGGCCTATATTAGGCAGCGTCAAGACTTGCTGGTCTACAATCTAATTTTGTAGGGAGAAATTGTTTTACTTTCACTGAATGTATTCTGTGCTGCTGGAAGGTTGCTCATCTGTTCTCTTTTGAGGCACTGCTCAGAACCATCAAAAATAACAGCAGATTGAGGCTGGCAACAGAACCACAGTCCCTACCATTAGCAGACTACAACAACAACCTTCCATCTGCTCCTCGATTGTGTCATTTCTGTTGCACAAACCTTTAGGGATTAATTAGAGATTGGATCAATATGAACTCTAAAAGGTGTAAACCAGGTGTAAAGCTGCACAAACTTTCATGCCACTGGTATAGTAGCTTCATGTAAATTGGAGAGCTTTAGTACTGAGCCAGCAACAAACATAACATACTGATAATCCTCACAACATATGACTGGATTCATTCTTCCCTCCTCTTCATTGGCAAAGGAAAGTGTTCATCAAGGCTTTAGGAGAAACGTTGCAACTGATAACCCAGCAACCATGGCAGCAGTAGACAATGGACATTACTAGCCAGTAAAAGCGACAGATGCATATGAATTAGAAACTAGTTCCTCTGGTAGGGGAATCTAGAATAAGGGGCATGTGGAGTCCTGTAGCTCAGTGGTTAGAGCACTCGCTTTGCAAGCGAGAGACCTGAGTTCAATTCCAGACAGGGCGAAACCTTGGGCAAGTTTCCTTACTCCACACGCCTAATAATAATCCCTTCAAAACCAAAAACAATAATAAATTGGTCATTTTCAATCAACGACTGTTTGTGGGACATTGCTGTGCGCAATTGGCTGCCGCGTTCGCCCACAAATATACAGTCAATTCACTTTACAGTGTGTTCTGTGAAGCGCTTTGGGACGTCCTCCCGACGTGAAAAGCGCTATATCAAATGCAAGGATTATTATTATTATTATTATTATAATCTTAAATTAGAGCCAGGGCATTTAGGAATGAAATTGGAAGGCAGTTTTTCACCCAAAGGGTCGTGGAAATCTGGACATATTTCCACCAAAAACCTGTGGATGTTGGATCCATTCACATTTTCAAGGTTGAAGTGGATAGATATTTGTTAGGTCAGGGTATCAAGGGATTTGGGACAAGGGCGAGTAATTGGAATTGAGGTACATATCAGCCATGATCTTATAGAATTGCAGAATAGGCTCGAAGGGCTGAATGCCCTGTTCCTATGTTTTTCTGTTTAAATGAGTGAATAAAGAATCTGAATGAATTCAGATATTAATTAAATTGTGTTTTTGATTAAAATCACTCTTTCCTGACCTAATTTCATTTCAGAATTTGGATCATTTTTCACTTATTTCTCTCAAAGTATGGAGTATGGTACCACAGGCAATAATTATTCCCCAAGGGGCCATTTTTTAGGTATGAACATAGACAATAAGTATGAGAAGGTTATTAATCTGGAGTGTTGGGGCAAGGCAAAGCAGTTCAATCTAATTCTTCTCTTGTCCAC